ACTTTTATGTGAGTCCACGTAAACTTTTGTGAGTATAACAATTGACTAATTTCACCCACGTTCACGCAACAAAAAAAAAAAAAAACCAAAACATTAGTTCATTGAGTAATATGCATGGGTTATTATAGACTTCTTAGTATCAAGTTCAATTCCATTGGATAAAAAAAATACATTAGCAATGAATACTTTACCAAACTTTTTATTTATTATCTGTTTACACTTAATTTTTAGGTAACTAAAAACATATGGTTAATTAATTAGCTATCACAGCCTTGTACATGAAATTAATCAAAAATAATTATAAAATGAAAAAAAGAAATTTGTGATTAAAATAAAAATGATCTATAATGCAACATGAATTTTCGACCGAATAACAATTAATTAAGACGTACCATATTCCACTATATTATGGCATTGTACGTACCATCTTACTAGCTAAAGATATAACCAGTTGTCCGCAACAAAATCTAACAAAATATTGAATCTAGCTATTATACATTTCCATATGAAAAATTATTCGGAAGAAACCATAATGCCATGAAATGAGCAATTGATAATGAAGAAATTGGAAGTCGACTATGGATTGGAAAAGGATCAAGGGAAATGGAAAATGGTATGGATGGTAGGAGTATGGTAAACCATGTTTCTGTTGGTTATAACATAGCAAATCGGGGTTGAATTTGATACTAAATTATTTGAGCAGTTTGGCTTGTTTTTTAATTGTATTGGTGTAAAAGTTTAAATTTACACAGATTATAGAAAAACCTAAAAAAAAATGAAAGAAATATGAGTCTTATTGAAGAAGCATGGGCATGTTACCTTAAGTACGGTTATTCAACGGAGAATCAAACTAAAAAGCACTTAGGAATTGAAGCATGATCAAAGTAAATAAGTATATTCATTACCTTCAATGCGATTTTTTTTTTTAAACGTGAGAAGGAACTAATTCTGTAGACTAGGATTGTAATAAGTCATGGTTGATTAATTTATAACCCGAATATAATTGGTATTTGGTGTTTTCCTCAGTAATTGATTTATCATTGCATTTAAAAAGTTTAGGGTTTAGGATTTTGCTTTCAATAAAAAAATACATATGATTGTTTACATAAAAAAAAAAGTATAAGAATCATAAATTTTAGTCTTTACTATGCTCATTTTACCTTAAAATTATAACTTGACATAAAAAATTCAATTCATTAATTTGATTCCTCTAAACTCATAAATATTAAATAATCTTTAGAAGGTGAATTAAATTTGGTGCTTTAATAATTTATTTCAAAATTAATGGAGTTGACTTTAACTTCACCTCATATATATACATATATACATGAATATCAATTACTATGCATATACTCTGGATAATTAATTTTTTGCATCAATATGTGCTCGATGATATTTAATAAATTATTTTATAAATAAATAATTTAATAATGAGATATATGTCATTAATTTTTTTTAGATTATATGTTAAAATTTAGATGAGGTTAAAAAATTATTTAATTGATCATGAACATAATATTTTCTTATTTATTAATAATGATTAAATTAAACTCTTATTCTTATTGTTGACATGTGAAATCCCCACATGATAATAGGATAAATGATAATGTATTTATCATATTAAACTTTTACCTAATATTATCATGCATAAATTGTGTCTATTCTTTTTAAATACTAATAAATTACAAATGGATAATATAAATTTTTTAATGATAATTAAAGTTAAACTTAACTTTACAAATTGATTTATAAAATGAGGATTGTTTCCTACTTATATATACTAATTATAATCTTATTCCTAAATGATATAAAATCTTCAACATACTTCCTTCACGTTAAGGACTGAACACTTCAAATGTGAAATTTACAATACTAGATATCTGTTGGTGGTCCAATAACAATCTAATAATGAATGACTTGATAAGTCTAATAACAATATGTTTTGATACCATCTTAGAAAAAATAGATTAAAAACTTAATCTAATCATACAAAATTGACTTGTAAAATTTTATATATATTATTATAATTTTATTTCTAGATAATGTGAGATTTTCAACACACTCCTTATATTAAAAACTAAATATCTTGAGTTCAAAGTTTATTACATCTGTATGTATAAGAAGTTTGAGGAGATTTATAATAAGTAAGTCACACTTTATACAACAACCTCTTTGGATTTTTATTGCAAGGAGGTTTTGTCATTTGTGTCTGGACTTTAGAGGGAAGTATTATTCCTGTGATGTAACCTTCTAGTTTTGTTTTGTTTTTTGTTTTTTTTAAATATATCATTAATAATTTTTTATTAACTGATAATATAAAAGCGTTTACACTAATAATACATGTACATTAAATTTATAAATTTGTAATAAAATTATACTTTTCAATATTCATAAATAAATAAAAAAAAGATAAATATAAATTTTTTTACATATGTTGTCATTTCGTGGAAGGATTCACCCCTAGAGCGAGGAGTGAATTGCAGAATTGGCTTCCCTTATTGGCTAGCTAAGATTAGACATCACTTTACTTTGTCTAGTGCAGTTTTTATTTTTCCCCATATGTATGTCTGTTGTATGCTGGATACTCCCTCATATGGCGAAGATCGTTTACTTGGTTATAGCCCAAGACATAATGAGGATGTTGCCAGAATTTGGTTAAAGCTATAAATAAGAAACCATAACTGTACAATGAATTGTAAAATCAAGAAAAAGAAAGAGAGAATTAGCTTAAAAAGAAATGATACCTCTGCAATAAATTATTTTAATAAAAAGAAAGAGAGAATTTTGAATTATAATGAATAAAAAAAATGTTGATAACATGTTTTCTAACAGATATTCAGTACACTTGTTCTATTAATTTAAATTTATTAGAAATTATAAATATGTGTGAGTCTCACATGGTATTTAATAATTTATAGTTATTAATAAGTTATAATTAATAATAAGAAAACATGTTAAAGAATATCTTATTAACACTTTTCATAAATAATATGATAAAAAAAAGATAAAAATAATATTATAAAAGTTTCTGGATATATATCACGTCTCAAAGCTAAATCAAGACCATCGATCACAATCGCAAAAATAAGAGGCATTTTTCTTCTGCTTTTAAAGTGTACATGGATAGACTAAGATCGGCCAAAGCATAAGGCTGTTCAAGTCTTAGTTTTAGGTCTTCAAAATATTTTTTTACTTATAAAACTTAATGAATCAATTATATCAGTACTAACTTTATTTTGTTAGTCATTGTCTAAGCCTAACATTGTAAGGATTGAGATTTGATCTTAGTATCATAATTTTGTGCTAATTTTTTTTTTATGGGTGACTATTAATTTTCTTACCACTTTTTCTCATCTTTAAAAAGGCTCAACTTTAAACTCATTTTAGGCCTCAAATATGTCGGGCCCGCGTCGGATAGACTGCTATTAACAAGGGCTCAGTTGTTTTATTTTTTCAGTTAATTTTTTACACCAAAAAATTTAACAGGGGCTCAGCTTCACAATGACCCAATTTGGTTGGCTTGGGTCGAGGCCTGGGCCTTTTCTTGTGTCATAGGTTTTAGGCTGATGATATATACACCTCTATTTTTTTATACATACACCTCCTTTTAAAAAAAATATTAAATTTCTAAATTATCCTTAATATTATTTGAAATAAAAAAAATTATCTTGAAATTTTTTTTTCGGAGATGTATTTGTACAAAATTATGGAAAGTTCTTTTCGGAATACTTAAATTATTATTCCGGAAATAACTTTTCGTCGGAATAATTATGGAAAGTACTTTCCGTAACACTAAAATTACTATTGCGAAAATTTCTTTCCGGAATTATGGTAACAAATACATACACTGTTAATATTCCGGAAAGAATTTTTTGCAATAGTAATTCTAGTGTTACGGAAAGTATTTTTCATAATTATTTTGACGGAAAGTTATTTCCGGAATAGTAATTTTAGTATTCTGGAAAGTACTTTCCGTAATTATTCTGACGGAAAGTTCTTTTTGGAAGGTTCATGATATATACACCTCCTGTTTTTTTTATATGTACACCTTCTTTATTTTTTTAAAAAAATTATAAAATATTATATATATATTTTTAAATTTTATACTTTTAACTTTCAATTTTCTACTTTTTCTTTTTTTTTTCACACACTTTTTTTTTCTCTTTCAATTTTTACATGCTACCAAAATAGATGGGGTGAAGGAAAGATAACGTGGTGCATGTAAAAATTGAAAAAAGAAAAAAAGAAGAAAAAAGAAAGATCTGTAAAAAAAAGTACTAAATTAAATGTTGTGAATGTAAAATTAAAAAAAAAAACAACAAATTAAGAATATTTTAAAATTATAATTATTTTTTTTAAAAGGAGGTGTACTTATAGAAAAAAGGAGGTGTATATATCATCAACCTTTGAAAAACACTTTCCAGAATAATTTTTTTTTATTCCAAATAATATTAAAGATAATTTAGGAATTTAATATTATTTTTTTAAAAAGGGGGTGTATGTATAAAAAAATGGAGGTGTATATATCATCAACCTATGTTTTAATTCAATACTCTGATAAACTTTAGGCCCAATATAATAATAGTTTCGGCGGATGATTTGTTGATACGTGATACAATATTACGACTATTAATATATTTTTGAAATTTATGTAATCTATAAGTATATATTTAAATAATTTTATATTTATACATGTTTTATATTATTTTAATTTTTATAAATTCGTATTTTGAATATTTTTACAAGTATACTTGTACTTCTGAAAATTAATTTAATATTTTTAATTTTAAAATTAATATAACAACTTTTCTAAAATTAAGGAAAAAAATAAATATTTACTATTTTATTTTAAAAGAGTACATGATACCTTTTTTTATATTGAACTATAAGAAATAATTTTAATGTTATGTTAAATTTTATAATTGCAAAATATTCTATCGAAAGATATTTATTTAAATTTTTTCAAAAAAGAATTTATAGCATCAGGTAGAATGGTTTGGGCCAATGAGTCCATAACAATTACCAGTCACCACCACCACCACAACCGTTGCAACCAAAACCCCGTTCCTCTTCTTCACACTTCTCTCTCTCGAATAGGTTCAGTAGTGGTGCCTCTGCAAGCATATTGCTTCCGCTATCTCCTTTTTTCCATCGCGAACTTCCACTTGATATTGTGCACCCGACACAGGTGATTTTTCTCTCTTTCTCCGATGCCTCTTTGCAAGCTGTTACTACTCTAATGTTGCATCGATGTGTACGGTCCTATTGATTTAATTTAATTCAAGCGTGTTTCGTAGTTTTCTAATGTGCTTAGCTGATGTGTTGCGATTAGGATTAGGAAACATCGTTTTCTTTTAGGTTTTGTTTGGTTTTGTGATAGTAATGAGTCATAGATGATAATTTAGCATAATGAACGGTATACATATATCTAAATACTGCTCTGCTACCGTTCTCATTTGAGGAGCGAGTTTTCTTCTATTTTCTGCGCGTGATTATTGGACGGAATTAATGAAATTAATGAAATTGTGAAGCAAAATGTTATAGTTCTCTTGATTTGCTTAATGCTTTTACTATTGATAGTGATGCTGGAGGAATTGAATAAAGCAATGTTAAGGCAGCATCAGAATTAGTTTTTAGCATTCATTTTCAAGCAATTGAGTGCATGGGCCAGAAAGAGTATGTGAACAAAAGTGCATGGCCCAAAATGGCTGAAAAGAAGCAAGAGTAAATGTGCTCCGCTTGAATGATGGAAATTGCTTATTGGATTTTTTTATTTTTTATTTTACTCTGGCTTGTTCTTTTGATTGGAAATTAACTTGCATAGATTTGGGGATGATTCACATTTATTCATTTAATGGAAAAAATTAAGTAATATTGTGCTTTAGTGAATTGCATATGGTACTAAAATCTGATTTTGGGAATTGTGTACTATCTTGCTTGTGATTAGTTTTCTTTCAAATGAAGAATTGACTCAAGCCTTTCAACTCTCAAGCCTCAGCTGAATTAAGGATCTTCTTGGAAGAGTGAGGATGAAATCCACGTAGAAGTTTTTCAATTAGAATTGGATAGACACACCAGGGTGCTTGGGTATGGGGATGGTGCTACCCCAACAGATTTGTAGGGCTCTAAATCATGATCTTCTGCCATTTGTTATTTCCACATAAAACTTCAGGATAAGTTCAATGTGAGTTGCCAAATGAAGGTGAAATATGACACGACAGAGAACTTTCAAACATCAAAATCTATCTATTGAGCTGAGATTTTTAATATTCTTTTATTGGCCATTATCCTTATGTTGAACTCCCATCCAAGACTTGGATGTCTTTCTTTCTTATATTCTTTTCCCAATTTGTCCAACAATATAAAGCAAATTCATGCCCAATTAATCACTAATGGCCTGAAATCTCGTACCTTCTTGGCCAAGTTAATTGAGCATTATAGTGGCTCACCAGACCAATGCGTTGCCAATAATGCACATTTGGTGTTCCAGTACTTTGACAAGCCAGACTCGTTTCTCTTCAATACTTTGATAAGATGCGTTCAACCCAATGATTCTATTCTTATTTTCCAAAATGAGTTTTCAAGGGGACTCATGTTTTTTGATGATTACACTTACAACTTTGTTCTTGGAGCCTGTGCTCGCTCTCCATCAGTTTCAACGTTATGGGTAGGTAGACAAATACACGCCCTGATAGTAAAACATGGGGTTGAGTCAAATATTTTGGTTCCGACTACCAAAATATACTTCTATGCAAGCAACAAAGATATTATCTCAGCCCGAAGAGTGTTTGATGAAATGCCAAAAAGAAGCAGTGTTACCTGGAATGCTATGATATCCGGTTATTCTTCCTTAAAAGATGGAAACAAGAGATATGCTTTTAATGCGTTGTCTTTGTTTAATGACATGTTGGTTGATGCAAGTGGAATTAAACCAACGGATACAACCATAGTTTCTGTGCTTTCAGCAGTTTCGCAAATGGGTATGCTGGAAACTGGTGCTTGCATACATGGATTTGCAGAAAAGACAGTGTGTTCTCCTGAACATGATGTGTTTTTAGGCACTGGGCTTGTTGATATGTACTCAAAATGTGGATGTCTTGATAGTGCCTTGTCTGTCTTCTGGCGAATGAACCAGAAGAATATCTTAACTTGGACGGCAATGACTACTGGCCTAGCTATCCATGGGAAAGGAAAACAAGCCTTGGAGGTTTTATATAAAATGGGAGCTTATGGGGTGAAGCCAAATGAAGCAACTTTTACTAGCTTCTTGTCAGCTTGTTGTCATGGTGGGCTTGTTGAAGAAGGCCTTCAATTATTCCATGAAATGAAGAGAACGTTTGGTGTAACGCCTCAAATACCACATTATGGTTGCATTGTTGACCTTCTTGGCCGTGCTGGAAAGTTAAGAGAAGCCTATGACTTTATCATGAGGATGCCAATTAATCCTGATATTGTAATGTGGAGGAGTTTGCTAGGTGCATGCAAGATTCACGGGGATGTTGTGATGGGAGAGAAGGTGGGGAAGTTTCTTCTCCAGTTAGAAGAGCGGAGTTGTGCAGAGTTGGCTCCGAAGAGTGAGGACTATGTAGCTTTGTCAAATGTTTATGCTTTAGCAGAAAAGTGGGACGAGGTTGAGACTGTAAGGAGAAAAATGAAAGTAAAGAGTATTTTGAATAAAGCTGGTTCTAGCTCTGTTCAAACTTTCAGCATGGCTGTGTTGTAATCAAAATTTTATATTTGATGTTTCTCAAAAAGTTATGTTAGCAAGGCAATAAGCTCATCACATACGAAGAATGCCTGAAGTAGCTGAGACCAAGCAATATTACGGAAATAGCGGTGACAGCGAGTACAGAATATGGAAAAGTACTCTTCATCTACAGATTGGAAATACGAGATGCTTTGAAAGCAGGATGTAGCATAGCTGAACAATGTATATAACTGATGTACAAGTATGATACTAATTGAAGTGTTATTTTTCAGCTTCATTATTTATAGTTATCGATTTCATTAAAATTCACATGAATCTGCCTGTAGAACAAAAACCAAAGAGGGAGGATTTTGAGGCTGAGCATTTGATGAAACGGACAGAGATTGTACTAATGGCCGTTCAGCTGGTTAATCGCACAGTTCCTTCCTGCAATTCTTTTATCTCTTTTCGTCCTATTATTTTCGGATGACACCTTATAAATGTTTATAGTACTTTTTTAGAATATACTTGTGTTTTAATTTAGTAATTTGTATGAATATTTTGTTTAATTGTGTTTTAGTGATGTTGATATTAGGTTAAATAGTTAAATATAAGTTGTTTGTTTTGTAGGCATTTAGGAGATTTAGGAAGTAAATTGGGTGAATTAGGTTTGAAGATCGACACACGCAGCTGAAGCTTAGAAAGGTATACATACGACATAGTTATGGTAAATACTCTTATAATCAAGATTTGATAGTTTAGGTTTTATTTAGTTAATTTTTAAAACATTAATTTCATGGATGTATTAGATATCCATCGATAAAAAAATAATGGATGGATTGATTTTTTTTATAAAATGAATTAAATAGATTAAATTTTTAAATAAACTTTTAATGGATCCATTAATGAAATATTTTAATTTGATCTATTATGATCCATAAAAATTTATCGGATCCTTCCACTATACTGTTCAATGCGAGATTGTGACTTCTACTCATTATTGTAACTTAGTATCTTCTCAATATTGATGTTGTTTTTTTGTCAAAATACTGCAACTTTATTATTTTTTGAATTAGTATTTTATTAGAAATTTACCGAGAAACAAACACAAATTACAGGGTTTTATATCTTGGAATGACAAAAGTAGCCCCCTCGCCTGCCCCGGAAAAAGAGAGGTTTAAAATGCTTTTAGTTTATTAAATTATAAGTTTGTCTTTTATCACTCAATTTTTTTTAATCATGTTATGTCAAAAAACAATTGTTTTAATTTTTTAAGACCAATAACATCATTGATAAGAGTAGATCGATTTAGTTACGTGACATCTGATTGAATTTGAATTTAATGTAATGTTTACATTAATAAGAATTTGTTTGACAAATTCATTAACTATATTTGTGTAGATAGATTGAAATGATTTTTTTTTTCAAATTATATAGATTAAATAAATAAATTTTAAATATAATGGATAAAAAATAAATTTCGATTGACACAAAACATATTTTAGAATAAAAAATATATCACTTCATAATCCGCTGTTAATATTTTGCACACCATAATTTGGAACTTTGCAAACTTAGGTCGGTTGATCAGAGAGGGGCTATTTACGGTGGAATTTGTTTTATGGATTCTTTTTACTTGAACTAGCACGAAAACGTTTCAATTTAGATATGTGATATTTCTGAGTTTTATAGTTTTATAAAACGAGACGAGGAGTAGTAGGAAGATTTAGTAATTACTTGTTTCGAAAGATTCTTCAATAATTAACAAGCAATAATTTCCATACATATAAATGCTAAGATGAACAGAATGAATAATTGAGATACTTGCAATACAAATCATGGTTCAACTTGCATAATGTTCCAGAGTTGCAATGTCAATAACTACGTGATTAAAAGAGATAAACTAAGAGGACTATGCTAATTTTACTCCTAAAAAGCAAAAGAAAAGTGGCCGAGAATTAGTCATACCCAAAAACGATTCCTCGCACGAAAGCCATATGCGCAGGCAGAGAGTGCTTCAAATCCTTGTCTTAGTATGAATTTTCCGACCTTCGTAAAAGAGTGTGCCTTTCATACTTATAGAAATCCTCAAGAGCAGTTATTTCTGTGTACATGTATTATGGGCACATAAGTGTTGTCCACTAAGCCCATTACGTGGGTTAAAATAAAACCTCTCGTAACCGTCTGCCCCACGTGTTTTTTACCTCTTCGATCCATGTTTTATTAACTGCTTTAAGATAACTACTCAAACTACTTTAAGAAACCTCCAGTAACCTTCTTCATTTATTTTCGAGCACTCCTCTGTTCGATTCGACTAATGTTTTTCGACCCATCTCGCACGTGAACAAATAAGACTGCTGATACGATCCTGGTAAGTGTTCGACCTTTATCTCCCTTTCGAGTAGTTTCATAGATATAGCTTTTGAGTAGCTTTCGAATTCTGGGTTTCGAGTAGCTCTAACAAATGCCCCCCTAGGAATTCAGTTTCGATGAACATGCTGGGTGAGAGAAGAACTGAATTCCTATCAAGAGATCTCTTCAATGCTCTTCCAACTACTTGATGTCAATTGATAACCTTTCGATGAAAACCTATTCTGACCTGTACCCTGATTTGCATTTAATGCACATGACCGTTTGATGCGACCTTGATAGCAATAACGGCGCGTGTTTCTGTTTTTTCACTGTTATCAAAATATTCTGGCGGCCGTTTTTATTATTTGATTTGAATTTTAACTTGAGTTACAGGCCCGTTTCATCTCAAGCCCATTAAAACTCTTTTTACCCTAAGGTAAAAACCACATTCACCACTTTCCTTCTTGGCGTTCAACTCTTCTTTGCTTCCTTTCTGCTTAGTTTCTCAATCTTCTTCCCCGACGAACCTTGTGTACCTTCATTCCCCAAGTTCTTTGCTTTTTCGCTTTAATGGCTTCTTTTGCTGCATCCACTTCTACCGCTGTAGCCTCCACAGTATCTCCCATCATTGCTTCTGCTTCAACTCCAACTATGATCTCTGCTTCATCTCCTACTGTAGTTTCCACATCATCCCCTACGTTGGCCGTTGCAACATCCCATGCTGTAATGGCGACTGTAACCTCCAGTCAGTCCATTCCTTTGTTGATGAGTAATGCGCAAGTTTGCACTGTCCCTGAGAGCAATGAGACCTTTGTACCTATTCCTGGCATGGAGGAGGCCAGCCTCAAGATTTATAATTCTCAAGTACTTCTTCCCTTCTCCCTTGAGAATGGTAATATGCATGCTTTTCTAGGACCGTTTATTGGTCAAAATAAGAAGAAATTTGGCAATACTTTGTTACCTGAGGATTCGTCCACTCTACCATTTATTCATTCACCAGAGATAGATCTTTCTTTGCTTAGAGACACTACTAAGATTTTTAGGGCCTTTCCCCCCGTCAAAAATACGCATTTGGAATGGTTACTTCGTGTGGAAAATGAAATGAGTTCTTCATGGGTCGAAACTGGTATATTTGAGTTCATTCAGCTTGCAAAATTTGACTTACATCTGTTCGACCCACAAATGCTCTTGTCTGCGATTTTCTTCTGGAATAGGGAGACGCGAGCTTTCGAGTTTCCCTGTGGGTTCGTTTGCCCTACCTTATTGGATATTGCTGCAATAACTGGTTTAACACCTTTAGGAGATAGATTCCACCCTGATGTTTTCGAGGAAGAGATTTCGATCAAAGAACTTTCCATCACATGGGATAAGAAGACGTATCTAGCTTTTATCAATGCTCATGTAGGACAACCTGGGACCCCTGTTTCGACTTCTAAACATATTGCCTTTTTAATGTACTGGTTATCTGCTTGCATTTTTTGTACTCCTTCGCTTCAGGTTCCAAAATACTATCTTACTCTCGCCCAAGCTTTACATTTGAAAAAGAAAGTTTGTTTAAATAAACTTTTATTGGCCTCCTTGTATACCTGTCTCGATGAAGCTTCTGAAAGCCTTTTCAAAGAGACTGGACCTTGAAATATTTCTGGACCATTATGGCTACTTCAACTATGGCTTAATGCCATTTTCGAGAAGAAACTATCCCTCACTTCAACCTTCACTCCCACCTGTGAACTTGAGGGTGCACGTTTAACCACTTTGACCCCTCGAAAATGTTTAGTTGATAATTTTGCAACATATATTGACGCCATTCTAAGCTTCACTGAATTTAGTGAGGATTTAGCTCCTTTCATTCGACCCACCTTGACAGGTCCATCTTGGCTTCGACAAAATAACCAGGTTTGGAATATCACACCAGCTTCTGTCGAGATGTGGGCTAGATTTTTATCCTGGGACGTAATCATGTCTGGTATGAGACATAAAGAAGTTAGGATTTATCCCTACCAGCCTCAAATGTTTGCTCCCCAATTTGGTCTGTGTCAGATGAAGCCTCTTCCCCTTCGGAGAAAAGAAAGTATTGACTCTGACATCTGTGTCGATACGGGAAACTATGAGGAAATTTTAGAGTTTATTCTTCGACCTGAAAAAGAACTTAGATTCACCCCATGTCGTTTCTTTCCCTCTTTCTTAGTGTCAAAGTGTTATCTTCGATGGTGGTGTACATATCATATAGATAAACTTCTCGATTTTGATGCATTTTTGAAGAAGATGATCAACTATCCTCTTTCTTCGCAGGGTCCCAAACAATCAGGTACTTTCAAGAACCGAATTATTATTTATCAGTTTGAACAATTTTTTAAAGTGTGTTATCGACCTGACAATGATGGTCGAACCATCTTCGACGCGTCCGTCTCTCTATCGAAAATGGTACAGAGGAACATTCGCTCGAAAAAGGTAATTAACCCTAAAGGAAAAACTGATTTCTCTGATTTCAAAAAATTTTGTCCTAAAAGGATACCTCCTCTTCCAAATTCTCTTTCTGGTTTGGCTAAGTATTTATCTCACCCTTCTTGGGTAAAAACGCTCGACCCATTTTACCTTGAACATAAAGCAATCCCTGTAAAAGATCGAGTTACTTACGCGAGATGTTCCTTGTACGATTTTCCTCGAAGAAGATGGTGGCCTCTATGTTGGGTCGATAACACTAATCCTCCCCCTGGTAAATGACTATACCCAAGAAAATTTTTGATTTCTTGACTGTAATAACCTCATTCACTCACTATGTTCTTACACAGCTGCTGTTTTCCAACGTGTTCCTCAACACGATGAGCAAAATCCCGATTGGGAAAGTGATGATAATGATGATGCAAAGGGATCATCATTACAAAGTCGAAAGAGAAAGACCGCTGCTGACAAGGTTTCGTTACGTTCTAAGGTACAATTCTTTTC